AAAAATGCCAACAACAGAGACTGCTGTGCGTGCACTTGTTGAGGGATTTGAGCAGGCTTATGGTCTCCCTCAGTGCCTTGGAGCTGTGGATGGGACTCATGTGGAGATAAAGCAGCCATCAGCTAATTCTACAGAGTACCTAAATAGGAAGGGGAGGTTTTCTCTTAACATACAAGCCACCTGTGATTACAAGTACAGCTTTATTGATGTAGTTGTGAAATGGCCAGGGAGTGTGCATGATGCCAGAGTTTTTGCTAACTCCACAATAAACACAAATCTGAAAAACATGAAGATTCCCCCCTGTCCAAGACAAATTGTGGAGAACGAAGACGCTATACCCATTTACATACTGGGTGACCCTGCATACCCACTTCTACCTTACCTGATGAAAGAATATGCTAACGGAGGAAGCAATGTTCAGGAGCAGTACTTTGGACTTTCGTTGTGCCGAGCTAGAATGGTGATTGAATGTGCGTTTGGAAGACTAAAAGCCCGATTTGGAGCCCTGAGGAGAGCCATGGACATCAATATGAATGATCTTCCATTTGTTATATATGCATGTTTTGTGTTGCACAATTTTTGTGAGGCATCAAAAGACACTGTGGATGAAAACAGAATAACTGAAGCTATTCAACATGACAGGAACAATCAACCGGACACACAGCCAGTGGTCAGAGGAGACAGCTTGGCAGCAGAAGGAAAGCGGGTCAGGAGAGTCCTCACTCAGTGTCTGGATCCATAAACACAAAAACCTGTGAACTATTTAGCAGACTGCGTTGTTTTTTCATAAAAAAATGTTATAGTTAGCACCATGTATGTTAGAGAATTTTTAAATTGTTTTGTGCAATGTTATTGCATTTCATTCTCTTAATGCATGAAAAGCTACCACCCAGGATTTAGATACATTATATAATAGTTTGTAGCTCATTAGACAGACTTTTAAGTGAAATGATTTTACTTTTCTCTCTTAAAATTGGACCTGTAGTGTATTAAATAGTGCTGCCAATACTTTCTGATGAACATGACTGTATTTGTAACTGATAAATGTCATATTCACATAAAGAAACTTGCTTTTAAAATGTTTGTCAATTTATTCAAACGAACACACTTAACATGTTCTTATTTTGTGTTTCATTTATGAACAGATCAGATTATAACAGATCTACAACAGATAAAGCTTTTTAAACATGAGAGAAAAGCAGCACAGTTACTGTACACTTTTAAATCAGTGATGCCCAAGTCCATAACTTGGGAGCTACCACAGGTACATTTCAGCTGCATTTTCTTCAACAAACCAGTATGAAATAGCTGATTTCAATCATCAGTATGTATTTGATAGTGGTGTTTTGGAGAAATAAATACATCTAAGTAGCAGTAGCTCCCAAGGACTGGACTAGATCACCACTCTTATAAAGATTCACGTAACAAAAATGTAAATAGTTAAAGTATTGTGCAATTGCTACATTTTAAGCTTTTCACAGTATGTATAAAAAGATAGCAAACAGAAAAAAAACCACTGTCAGAGTAAATAACACTGTGATTAACAACCTGACATGTGTGCAACCTTGTGCAAAAGTGGAACTTGTATATACTTAACTGTACCAGACTTGCTTCGATGTATAAAACAGTACTCTACTGGTCACTAAAAAGGGCCTGACTGAATGAAAATTGGTCAGTGGCTTCAGCAGGTGTGTGGAACACAGCTTCAGTGTTCATAGTGTTTCCTGGTCTTGTGTTTTGACGTGTTCTGTCAGAAGTGGAGTTGTTTGGGTATGGGTAATTTGCTGAGTTTTGGTGGACAGAATGGTGGGCCATTGTGTGCGAATACATCGGACCTCTTGGCTCATATGGCATGTAGTGTGGTGGTTGTGCAGGTGTATGAATGACCTGTTTCAGAAGAGAAAACCCATCAACAATCGATGTGGTAAGTCTTTCCAGTGTATTGGACATTTTTGAATAGTTTTCGGATGCTTTTTGTTCTGATGTCTCAATGATTTCCACCAGTCTCTTTTTCACACGCTGGTCTTCCTCAAGAGCATTCAGCCACTGGGTCTCAGCAGGCAGCTTTCTCCTCAGACGGTCGTGTCTGTGTCCTTTTAGTTTTGTCTTCAAAAGAGAAATGAAAATCATCACAATTAAACATAAAAAAGTAAACCTGGATCATGTTGATGTTGTACTTTTCACATCACTTCTACATAACAATATGTAATAACAGCGTATCCAATGTTTGCTATATATCTTAAAGTGTATTTTGTACCCACCACCCCATCAAACTAATGAATATGTAGGCCTAACATAATATGAGATGAGTAAGAGCATGATGGTGTCATTTCTTTTTTGCAATAATAATAAAAATAAATCAGCAACCCGTACACAGTAAAATATAAAAAACATCACATTCCAGCCTCCACCACACACCTCAACTCTTGCATCATTTTTAACACACATATTGCCTTAACTGTATTTTTAATAGCAACACAATTCAACAAACCTGTTCCGTGAATTATAGTACATCCAACAGATGAACATTTACAGCAAAAGTACTTTTATTTATGAGGAATGGACAGAAAAATATACGTACATCAAGCAGGTCTCTCCTCTCCTTTGAAGTAGGACCCACACTGCTTTCATTATCAGACCCTGTGTCTGCTACATCCATGGTAGTGGAGGAAGAAGATGTGGATGGTGAGGGTAGGGTCCGAGAATGATCCAGGTCAGCTGT